ACGTGTGAGTCCTCCTACATTCTTCTTCTTCAGTATTGTTTTAACAATTCCCGGTCCCTTGAAATTCTACGTGAATTTTAGAATCACTTGTTACTTTCTAGAAGTCAGCTGAGATTTTGATAGTGATAATTACTGTACTGAATCGTTAATTTGTGGCACATTACCATTTTAACAAGTTCAAGTCTTGCAATTCATGAACATGAGATGTTTTTCTACTTATTTATATATTTATTTGAACAGTATTTTATGGTTTTCTAAGTATAATTTTGTATTCCTTTTGTTAAAGTTATTCCTAAATATTTTATCTTTGTGTTGTTATACATATTACTTCTGTTAATGTTAATAAACCCAACAATGAATTGTTATAATTATTACTTTACTATCTGTCATCATTTCCTAGCAAACTGCAGCTTCGTTCCCATCCACCTCCTTTGTGAGGTTATTTACAAATGTGTTAGGCACATATTATATTTCTAAATGTTATAGGCTCAACAATGGCTTTATGAAAGGAAAATTAAATTTTTAGACCCCAAACTTGCTATGCCAAAGATAAAAGTTAAACTTGGAAACTGAGTTATAAGAAAAACTGCCTTTCCTTTGTTCCCAAACAGTTGCAAGATGGAAGGCCACATCTCTCTCCAGGTGGCCTCCCTCACCCTGATCATGTAAATTATCTTCACATATAGGGACAATGACAATATTAGAAATCATTCTACTGCCCACTCCGAGACAAATGCAGATTTGCTGAGCATGAGAAAAATGCATAACTGACTGTTCCTGTACCCTCTCCTTTCACATGTAACATGGATTCAGTGAGGGCTAATCAAAGCCTCACAAGAATGTGACCACTATCTCACTATCTACCCTCCCACTTTTGTTTTTCTTTTCCCCTTCCCCTCCTTCCCACTCTTTCTCTGTTAAGTCTTGAAGTCCTCAAAACCGTCTTTGGAAAAAAATCCAGGTCACAGATCCTTCAATGCCCAGGGTCTCTTTTTCCCAGGTACAGCCTCAACCTGTGCAAAATAAACTTCTAAATTAATAAAGACCTGTCTCAGATACTTTTTGTTATATACATTCTATATATATTATTTTATATAATTGCTTTCGGGTCAGTAAAGAGAAGAAGAAAATGTGTTTATATTATCTTTTGTAATTTCATAATAACCTTTGCTTTGTCCAGTGGATTCGAATGATCTGGGGTCACTTGCGTCAGCCTGAAGAGCTTTCTTTAGTATTTCTTGTAAACTGGGTTTGCTAGCAACAAATTCTCTCACTTTTTCAAATCAAACAAAGTATTTTGCCTTCATTTTTGAAGGACAGCTTTACAGACATGCGATTATTCCTGGCTCATTTTTTTCCTTTGAGCAATCTGAGCCCACTATCTTTTGGTATCCTTTGTTTTTGCTGAGAAGTCAGCTGTTAATGTTTTGAGACTCCCTCGTAAGTAAAGTGTAGTTGTACTGGGGGAGGGGATATGGGGAGTGGGTAAAGATAGGGTCTCACTATGTTGCCCAGGCTGGTCTTGAACTCCTGACCCCAAGTGATCCCCCTGCCTTGACCTCCTAAAGTGCTATAATTACAGTGTGAGCCGCTGTGCCCGGCAGATGTGTAGTTTTCCCTTGCTGCTTTCAGGGTTTTGTCTTGGACTTTTGACATTTTTACTATGATGAATCTGTTTACGGGTCTTTTTGCATTAATCCTACTTGGACTTTGTTGAGCTTTCTGGATGGATGGGCTATTGTGTTTTGGTAAATTGGGAAGGTTTCATTCATTCTTTCTTCAACTTAATTTTTTTTTCCATTACCTCTCTCCTCTCCTTGTGGTATTTCTGTAATATAGATGTTAGTATTCTTAATTGTATCCCACATTTCTTTGAGGCTCTGTTTATTTTCTTCATTCTTTTCTGTTTTTTGACTTGTGTAATCTATCAAACTAGCTTCAAGTTGGCAAATCCTTTTTTCTGCCAGTTCAAAGCTATTCACAGAAATAAAGGAAGGCATGAGCTACTACAACCACCCAAAACTGGGCATTTTAGATACCTTGTTGCAACTCTGGGTACTGGTCCCCCCAGCTCTAGGGCTTGTTATTGTTGTTTGCTCTTTATCTGTTTAGTAATTGGCTGGATTATTTTAATGAAGTCTGTTGCTCTCCCAGTCTTAAATCTCTGATGTCCCTCAGGTAGACACAGCTTTGGGTATGCTAATAGTCACCTTAAGAAGCCAGTACTAATGGCAGAATTATCGTCCTCATTTTTCGTGACCCCATCCAGATACTTAACTCCACTAACTGACTGCTCTCCATTATCAACAATGCCTTGGGGCATAAACTCCTCTACAAAGTAATCTACAAAGAAGCTAATTACAGCTCCTTTGAAAGAACATTTTCTGGGGTCATGTTTGATATTTGTTCTGATTCCAGAAGAGCTCCTCCTAGCTGTCTCATTCTGCGGATCTCTCCTGACAGCTAGCTTACCTTCAGCTATCTTCGCTAGATCTACAAGTCTCCTCCCCATTGCCTTTCACCATACTTCTAGGGTTTTTTTGAGAATACCCTTAGGTTTAAAGTTCTCCAGGTTCTGTGGCGAACGAAGTCACTTAGTTAGGGAAGAGATTAAGAGCTGTTTTTCTCTTTCTTTTTTCCTTTCTTTCCCTT